ATTCTTATAGTTTCATATATTACTTAAATTTAAAAAAATTAGTCACGTCATTTGCATCTTATTATTAATAGCATAAAAATTTTCAACCCAATACAATAAGAAAATTATGTTCATTTAATTTTTTATCTGATGAATATATTGCATCATGCTATTCATTGTGTCAATTGTGAAATAGTTTTTTTTTAATAAAATAATTCTATTTTTAAACATGTAGTAAGTTAGGTGATATGGTATATTAACGTAAAAAATGGCCCGACAAAATTAATATATTTAAAAAATTGTCCAATTAAAACGGGCAGGCCCAAAAAAAAAATCAAGAGTTTTGAAAAAGATATATAAAGTAAAGTAAACAAAATCTAAACCTTAGTTATTTTCTTATGCTGTGAAAGGGGATAATGAGAATGGATTGTTTCTATTTGGCATGAGAATATGTTTGTAAAGCGTACCCAAGGCATTCAATACTAAAAATTGGCAAAAACAAAAGAAAGCAAAAAAAAAAAAATCACTTTGTTCCTTGCTTAGTTATCTAGTGCTGAATATAATATTAATTTTTTATAAAGAATATAATTTTATTAAACAAAGTGATAAATATAACAAATATTATTTAAGAAATAATTTTAAAAAATGTTTCTCCCCACCTAATTAGCCGGAGTTAAAAGGGGTAGGAAGAAATGAGCAAAAACGGGAAAAGGTAAATGACATGGTGCTTTGCTTTCCTACCTTACCTTGAAAAGAATTCATCAATATGTGATATTGCTTTTAATGATCATAATTTGCAAGTTGGATTTTTTTTAATAATTAAAGGCTTCCCCGCCGAAAGCACTTCTCTTAAATGCCGGGGGCTCATTCGCTTCAGATCTAAGTTCATACTTGTTTCATTTCAATACTCATTTTTTTCGCATTCTCCTGCTTCCTTTTTTGATCAACGAAAAATCTAAAGTTTACATTGTTTGTCCCATTTTTGTAATATATTTAACGTTCCATCTACCATCTTTGTATTTTTTGTAAAATTGCCAACATAGAGCAGAGGAGCCACCCATCTCTCTGCCTCTCTCTCTCTCTCTCTGGGTATCTACAGGTGAGCTCGTAGTGGTCTCAGAGAGCAATGGGCCAGGAGTCATTTATATATAGCTTTGTCGCTCGGGGGACGATGGTCTTAGCTGAGTACACTGAGTTCACCGGCAACTTTCCGGCGATTGCAGCTCAGTGTCTTCAGAAACTACCTTCCTCCAATAACAAGTTCACTTATAATTGTGACCACCACACCTTCAATTTTCTACTCCAGGATGGTTACGGTAATCCTACACTTCTCTGATCTCTCCCTCCCTTCATCTCTCTTCACTCAGCTTTTTCTCCCTCTCGCATGTCTGTGACAAGAAACAACTCTTGTCAAAGAAAATGGAATGGAAGTTGAATTTCTTTTTGAAGTACTGGATCTGGTTTTGGAACGGACTTGACTTACTCTGGGGCCGTTCACTCGGCACAATGATTTCCGTTTTTTGGTTCTGTTTGGCCGTTTGATTTTAACTTTCCAAACTTTGTTTGCTTTTATGTGTTCTGTCATGGATGTTGTTACCTGCCCATCCAACTACTGAAGAAGATAATGAACGAGAAGTAGAATTTGGATTTTGGAAGTCGAATTAAGTTTTGTTGCTCTGTAGCATTCGGTGTACGCAAGTTTATTTTGCATGGCTCTACCAGGACAAAGAATTCTGCTTTGAAATTTATAGTCCCTTTTGTTGCTTTAATTATAAATGAAGAGGCATTTACCACTGATCAATGAAAATTATGGAGACGCTTTTGGATGTGTCTGCATGTGTGTTCATTTTTATTGTCAAAGAAAGAAGAAAAATTAGTTCTTTCCCATGATTGGATTCTCTTTGACGTTGAAAGTTTTCGTTTTTCTTTTACTATGCAGCCCATACATCCTTGATTGATAACACGTTTGTATCATTAGGTGATGAACATTGCTAGAAATAGCTGGCTTGAGAGTTACTCAGTATTTTGTCGCAACATCCTTGTACAAACCCATGCTATTGCTTCACTTCAATGTTATCCTTTGCTGCCCTTAAATCTTGAGATACCAGATATCTTGGTAGGACATGAATCATTTCGTCTATCCCCGTATGGAAACCATGCTACAATAAGTCTTCAAACAAAATTTATCTTGAGACTAGAGTTGTGATAAAACTTACTGTTGAGAACTTGAGATACTTTTGGCGCTGGCTTAGGGAGCAATAAAAATGCATGGCCACTTTCATGATTGCACGATGACAAATATGTGATTGTTATCTCCTAGAGTTGGTGCCTTACTTTTGTTAGAACCTATTACTGCCACTTCCATAACCTCCACAAGTTATATTTTGACTTCATTGGATATTTTGCCATACTGCTGAAACTCTAGATTTACTTCATCATTAAGGTGCACACAACGACAACTTATGCTTGACTTCATGAACTGGGATTCTTGCAGCTTACTGTGTTGTTGCAAAGGAATCTGTTAGCAAACATATCTCTATTGCTTTTCTAGAACGCGTCAGAGCAGACTTTAAGAAAAGATATGGTGGTGGAAAAGCAGATACAGCTGTTGGCAAAAGTCTCAACAAGGAGTTTGGGTATCCTCATTTCTTCCTAAGCCCTTCGTTCATATCCTAATGCATGGGTAGAAAAGTTTGTTTCCAAAGATGAATCATATCGTGAATGAATGTGCAATTGCAGACCTGTTATGAAAGAGCATATGAAGTATATCATAGACCACGCTGAGGAGATTGAAAAGCTAATAAAAGTGAAGGCTCAAGTTTCAGAAGTTAAAAGTATAATGCTAGAGAACATCGACAAGGTACCTTAACTTTTCAAGTGTAAAATATGGAAATAATTCTGTACTTCATTCATTTCCTTGTGCAAATGTCTCTATGCATCCTTCTTTAACCTCGTGTTCACTGCAATTCAATGGTTTTCTCTCTTTTAAGAAAGGTTTTGAGGCGAGGAGAGTTTTAGTTCATTGAGTTGCTATACCAGTCACTGGACTTCTTTGCTGTGAAAACTCCATCTTTCTGCTGGCCACATTTTACTTCCCTCGTAGCAATGAGAGTGGTTGGTAAAGCGATGCACATCTATGCTTAATTGTTCTCCGTCCTGCCAGTATTACTGGGGACAACTTGTAATGGAAGATCAATAACTCTTCCTGTAACTGATGAATTAAGCTTCTTTTGATCCTTGTCACACTTGCAAACTTGTGTCATCATGAAATTTCTTTGCATGGATCAATGCTTTTTCACATGTTCCCCATTTTCTATTGGGATGCAATATTTGAAGTTTCATTATGATTGGATGCTTGTTTGTATTAAGTTGTGATCTTTATTTTCATGGAACATCCTTTCAGGCTATTGACAGAGGAGAAAGTCTAACCATTCTTGCGGACAAGACAGAAACATTGAAGTCACAGGTTAGTTGACTAAGGGTAGACAGCTAACCTTTCAACTTATATGTTTTCTACTAAGGCTGAGAGCCACGTGTGTTTATTTTTAGGCCCAAGAGTTCAAAAAGCAAGGAACACAGATCCGTCGCAAGATGTGGTATCAGAATATGAAAATCAAGTTGGTTGTTCTCGGAATTTTGTTGTTTTTAGTCCTCGTTATCTGGCTATCTGTTTGCCATGGATTTGACTGTACAAATGACCCATGATCTCTCAGTTTACATATAGGTTCTTTTTAAGGATGTCTAGATACAGTAAATAGGGAAGAAAATCTAGTTTTACGGGGGATTTTGGCCGCTAAAAAGAAAATGTTTCCTACCATCTTTGCTCGCCGGGATCGTTTATAGTATTTACAAGTTCTTAAAGATAGGAAGGAGAATGTCACTATATCATGTGTTGAATTGCGCCTTTTTTTTTTTCCCCCTATTGCTATATTTGTCTTATAATTTTGATTTTAAACCAAGTGATTTTGGCTTCCCCACTGAAGGGTGTTTTGTTCATTAGTAATTTTCTGTTGTGACAACCATGTAAACTAGATTCTGAGCAGGGTTGGGTCTGAGAAGTGAAGCTCTTGTATTACTCCTTTTCATTTTCTTTTTTTTTCCCGGTGACATACTCCTTTTCTTTTTCCCAATTCATTAGAGTCGAATTAGTTTTTATTCATTGTTTATTTATCGGAATAGTTATTAGTTACAGTAAATATTAACAAATTCCAAATTACTTGCGTTTTTATTGTTAGTACATGCGTTCGCGGTCTTTGGTCATTTTTCGTATTGAAGCAGTCTCACTTGAGTTGGGTGCTGTTACCTTGTTGCCCTATTGGAATTGCCTCAAGAATGTGTTTGTTTTAGCCCTCAAACACGACGCTTTTGCCTTCCAATGAGGCTCCAAGTCTTTCAATGCCATTGAAATATGAGCCTGAAATCACAAGACGACTTTAAATAAGGAAGATCAAGACTCGATGAAATCATTATTTGGTTGTCTTGATAGGATATTACAATACGAAATCAATCAAAGTTTTTGTGAAGTATATAGTTTCTTTTTTTCATTGCTCTTTCTTGTGGAGGCAATCTTGTTCAAAGTAAACACCTCTTTCAGCCAGAATTTGAATTTTGATTGATCATACCATAGGAAACTAGTTCTTTCTGGGCTCAATTTGGAAGTATGTAGTTGCTCCTCTCTTTAGACTCAAAATAAAGGCCCAAAATAACAAAAGACTGCTAAATGTCGTATTGGATATCGATGTGATACTCTCTTTTGGTCAGACAAAATCTTTGGGTTCTTGGTATCATCACAAGGAACTAACTATAAAAAAATGAAGTATCTGATATTCATTGTGTTGGTTGGATTTGCATCTCTAATTACTATGTTTCTTTCCTAGTGGTGTGTAGTACAAGTATAAAGACCTCCTCCTCCCAAAAATGAATTAAAAAATTACTTAAGATAATGACAAATACGATAAAATGAGTGGTTAATAATGCATTAAACAATTTTATGCAAACGAATCTTTCACTGGGAAGAATAACAATTGAAATTTTGCTATTCCAGAGGACAAACCATAGATCATATTCTTAAGAATAACATTTTCTTCAAATTTTGCTGAGCTTCCTCGCCGGGTTTAGTGAGGGAAGATATATATGCTTGTTGCCTGTCAAAAAAATTCAGACAGTCTCTTGCAATTGTCTAAGCCGAACTCCAATAGTGAGAGAACTTTGAGCATGAAGGATGATCAATAGGGAAGATAATTGAAAGGCCGAGGGATGAGTAGCTGAGAGGCAGAACTGCTCCCAGCAATAATCTGACTGTTCTCAAGATAGATCATATTTAAAGACAATAAGAGGAGACACAACTAGCAATGGACATGGAACCAATTTCAATGCTCATTATTTAGATTGATATTGTCTTGTTCTTGCTGGAACTTTATTATTTTCACCAGTACGCCCGTATTATTTTTCTTTATTGGAACTTCTGACTGTTCTCTGGTTGAGAACTCTTTTAAGAGCCCTCTGAACCCAAAATAGTGGAGACTTCTAAATCCTTATAGCTTAGAGACAAAAATTAAATGATGGAGTAACCAAATAAACAAAGTCTTGAATTCTACATTTTGGGGACACTTAAGGCTAAAACTATATAAATAGAATATGTATGTAACAATTAACACGGTCAATAAATGTTCATATCACATTTCGGACATCACCTTCACCATGGTTACGTGAAACAAAAAAAAAAAAGGACGAAAGGAAAAAAAAAAGTTAGCAGATGGAAATTCAATTTAGCGACGCTCTGCAAAGTCCCAAAAAACAAATGGCAACACTCTTGAAACCACTACATACGAAAATCCAAATAACAAATCACAAACGTACGACAAGTTCATAAGAGTTCTGAATTAAATATGGTATTCATTTCAAGGGAGTAAGAAAAGATATAGAGTGCCTCAACTGGAATCCACAATGCATTGTCTTCCTTGCTCTTGAGGAGCAGAAACATTCAGGGGCTTTCAATGTAAAATGTAGATGTAGAAAGCATAATGATTCCAAAAATCCTTAACATAGAAAAGACAAGTAATTGAATTCATACAAGTAAAACGACATTGCAGGCACTAACATAGTCGAGGGGAAGACGAATATGGTTATAGTCACTGCAATATTCAACAAAACAAGAGTTCTCAGTGTAATACACAAGTTCCTAGTTGAATCAAAAACTCAGTGACCCGAATTGGATAAGACACTCACAAAAATTATAACAGTTATGCCCCTCTTTCTAACACCAATACTATTGCCCCAAAAAAAAAAAAACAAACTTTCAAAGCTCATCCTCCATCCTCAAATACTCGCCAATATCGGCCTGGTGAAGCACCACAATACCATTAGGGTCCAATTTCCTGCAATCCTGCGTGGACTTAGCAGCCACACCAAAACCCAACGGCACATCAGACATGGAAAACACCACAACCCCATCACCAGGCGAAATGCTCTCTGTGATCCTTCCCAAAGCACTCTTCAAAACATGATTCCCGTACAAGAAAGACATCTCAGACTGGGGTTTGAGCCAGACCTTGTGCTTAGCATTAGCAGCCAACAAGTTCAGAGCCTGAACTGTGAGATGAAAATTACCTCCGTGAGTGTATTTGCCGATGCAAGTGCCGAGAGAAACGAGGTTGGGTCGGGCTATATTGGTCGCCCGCTTGACGAGGGATTCGCTGACGTAGTAGATTTTGTTCTTGTTGAGGCGGAAGCAATAGCGGCCAGGGTTGGAATCGGGACCTTCATGGGAGGGATTTTCAACGATGTTCTTGAGGTTGTTTCCGACGAATTTGAAGAGCTTTTCGAACACTGCAGTTGTCTCAGCCTCGTCCAGCGGTCTCATCTCCGCCTACGAGAATCGTCCTCTTGCTGTTGAACTGTTTAGCTCTTCAGAGTTCAAACCCTAAACCCTTAAAAACGCACGGAGGAGGAAGGAGGAAAGCGCCGTCTCCGTTGGCCAGAAAGTAATGCGATATGTGTGTAAACAAATATATATATATATAATCTGTACCCAAAATATATACATATATATATAATAAAAAAGACAAATAAATAGGATAGAATTACAATGACATCCCAAATAAAAAATAAAGAAAATAATTAAAAAATAAGTTTTAAAGGTTGTCATTTTTACTATAAAACTTATCATTATATACTATTAAAATTATTATTAGGATCTTTTAATAATTATTTTTCTTATATGAGAATTGATCGTAATTCTTTCAATAAATATTTTGATATTTGATTATTCAGGGGAAACAATTTCTGCCTCTTCCTTTAAACAGACTTTTTTTTTTTTTACCAGCATGCTTTGAACAGACCTAAGGCTTGCGTCGGCATGGAGTTAGATTGAAGAGTAAACATTGTATCTGCGCGTGACGGGCGAAGACGTTACAGCGACTCTGTTTAACCCCGCGGTAGTCGTTTTTAATATGAGTATTCTTTTGATTTTTATTTTAATCTTAATTATAACATCTTAATCTATTTTTTTTTATATTTATATATATTTTTAAAGTAGTCCCTTTAATAATAATAGTTTTAACCAACAAACTTGATTAATAAGGATATTTTAAGAAAAACAACATTTATTTGTTACAAATAACTAACCTAATTTATTTTTTTAATCTTCTTAAATTAGTCAATCAGCTCTTATAATTAAGACAGGAGATAATTTTTTTTTATGTTGCTGATGAAAAATATGTGGTGGTTTTTTTTTTTTTGACTTGATTTAAGTTTTATTGTTCAAGGAGAGAGCTAGACCATACGCAGAAGAAGCAACCACGAGCTATAATATGTTTATACAGGAATGAATTTAGAGAGAATTATAATCAAGTCTCTCAGAAGAGAAATAATTATTAAAAAGTACTAATAACAACTTAAGTGACAAGTCCTATAATAAAGAATGACAACTTCTAAAACTTATTTTGTAATTTTTTTTAAAGAAACTTGGTTGTAATTCTTAACTGATATAAAGTGCCTAATATTGTGCTTCATTTCTTTCCGTCCCTTTGGGCCATTTACGTCGCAGTGGATGATATCGTCAGCCTACGTAACCAAAGCAGAAATCTAAGACCCAATTTGCGGAGGCTTTTCCCATGCTTCTTTCTTAGATAAACGACGACGCATCTTCCAACTTTCCCTGTCAAGTTTCAACAGCGGGGCTTGCCCATTGCCATTAATTATACCCCCACTATGTCATTCATTCATTGTGTGTCCCTGCTGCCTTTTATATTCCACACACACGCCATATATTCCTCTCATGGAGAGATGAAAGTCAAATCTTATATTCAAACAGTGTAAGTTCAATGAATTATGAACACCATCCACATCCAACGTTGTTGTCACTCAATGTAGAGACCAAGACACTATTTGCAGAGGCCTTTTGGATGCTTCCCCAGTTCTTTCTAAAAGGGCATGGAATTTTCCGTCGCATCCCAGTTTCAAAAGCCTACACAACTAAACTCATAAGCATTCGTGTATATGATTAATTTTTTGACCTATTTAGAATACTTTATAAACAGTTTTTCAATCACGATTAATGAAATATAAAGTAAATATGTGAAAAGAGTTTAATCTCAAGTTAAGTGAAACGTATTTACAAGTGATTTCAAGCTAATTTAAATATGTGTATTTGTTTTCGGCCTCCTGTTATATCCGGATACCTGCCCGGGTTTAAAAAACAACGATTCATCATCAAAATTAGTGTCGTTGGTGCAGACGTAACAGCATTCCTTCTCGTCAAAGGTTTAGCCATCGATCCAAATACAATATTACATTTTTAGTGGATGTTCAGGCTTGAATTTTTATTTATCTATAAAATATTCAACTGATATCAACCCCATCTAACGACAAGAAAATATCTTCCTGCTCTCAGCCGGAGATGCTTTCTCATCCGACTCCATTTTAAATTAAACAAGTTTGGTCTTTTATGTTATTTTTTCTATTCTGGCTATGAAAAGAGAACACCATCATCTGCAAAATTCATCAAGAGCAAGAACAAGATCATGGCACCGTCTGAATTAATAATACTTATAAGCATGCGTTTCATGTATACTGACTCAAAGTTCTTATATTTCGCAATTAAACGCCCCATATTCATAGGACTATTCGCAACACTTCAAAATCCAAAATGATTTATACACATTCAAAGGAGCTAAACATGATGCAGATTATCAGTTAAAACATTACAACTACTTCAAAATTACAACCCACAGGAGGGGGGAAGAAAAAGGTGATCAGAAATCAAATCCACCAGCATCATCAAAGCCTGCATCATACCCAGCATCGTAATCAGCAGCATCGGAGACCATATCTCCGATCAGCAAACCGCCGAGAGCTCCACCCAACAACCCGGCTCCCAAACCCATCCCAAATTTGTTCTTCTTCGCCGGTTTCTGAACCGGCGGGTACCCGTAGCCCGGTTGTGCGGGCGGGTACCCACCATATGCCGGTGGATACCCTCCCTGGTGTGGAGGTGGCGGGTACCCGTAACCAGCTGCGTACTGTGGCGGCGGAGGAGGATATGCTCCATGCGGTGGAGGGTATGGCGCGCCATATGCCGGTGCCGAGCTGGATCCCGCCGCTGAGGGAGGATACGCCATCACTGGCTCACCCTTTGAAACTCCCTCCGGATACGCCTTCCCGGCCGGCGCAGCGACCGGAGCGGTGACCTTTTCCCCAAATTTGTAAGAGAAATTCAACGATCCCTTGGGTTTCCCTGAGGGCTTCCTAACCTGGTAGCTGACGAACTGCGCCGACTTGCCATCGCCGGTGTTATCCAGAAGCTCTTTGACTGGGACGTGAACGACACCGATGTCCTTGTCGCCGGCCATGGAACGCTCAGATTTGAGCTTGATTTCGATGGAGAGACGGTTCTGGCGCGCCGCCGATTCGTTGACGTTGAATTTCATGGGGAAATTCCAGGTGGGGCTGGTGCCACCGTCTCTGTCAACGGGGGTCTTGGCCTTCTGGTTCTGGTAGGCGTCGCCGGAAATCGAAACGACGGCGTAAACGTCCATCTTGGAGAAAAGGTTGACATCTTTAAGATCTTTAGCGGAAATTATCGTGAGCTCTAACGGTAAGTATTCCATATCTGTGTGCTGAGTCTTGAAGAAGGAGAAGAAGGACGAAGAAGAAGATAGTTGATGAAGGCTGAGACTTGGGAGAGAAGACCGAAGGATTGAATCAATAAATGGAGATTGGACCTGTTCTCTCTATTAACGAGGCATGCTTGTACGCGTGTGTACATATATGGGTAGAGCCGCGAATCAGGAATCTTCCTCGCGCTTGATGAGTAGTTCCGCATTGACGCGTCAGTTTTTATCCTCTCTTTTTTTATAAGTGAAAAAGGTTGTATTTCTTAATCGTTCTTCTTCGTTGACAACTTTTTTTTGGGCAAATTTCACTGTAGGACCGCACAAGACAATTAATCTCAAAGAACCTCCAAAACTTTCTGAAATCTCACTGCAGGACCAAGGGGCCAATCTGATATTAATTCCACAAACAAAATGACGCCACTACCCTTAGCATCAGGTGAACCAGTCCACATGTGAACGGACTGATTCCACGTGTGAATATATGTATTTATTCTGCAAATTGGCTAGTTCCCCTTGCAAATGCGCTCTCCTGCACTTTTTCCCTCACGGACGCATGCATCAGGTGAACCAGTCCACATGTGAACGGACTGATTCCACATGTGAATATATGTATTTATTCTGCAAATTGGCTAATTCCCCTTGCAAATGCGCTCTTCCGCACTTGTTCCTTCACGGACGCATGCATCAGGTGAACCAGTCTACATGTGAACGGACTGATTTCACGTGTGAATATATGTATTTCATCTGCAAATTGGCTAGTTCCCCTTGCAAATGCGTCTCCCACACTTGTTCCCTCACGAACGCATGCATCAGGTGAACCAGTCCACATGTGAACGGACTGATTCCACGTGTGAACATATGTATTTATTCTGCAAATTGGCTAGTTCTCATTGCAAATGCACTCTCTCGCACTTGTTCCCTCCTACTAGGGGCAGTGGCGTCATTTCATTTGTGGAATTAATATCAAATTGGCCCCTTGGTCCTGCAGTGAGGTTTCAGAAAGTTTTAGGGGCTCTTTGAGATTAATTGTCTTCTGCGGTCCTACAGTGAAATTTTCCCCCTTTTTTTCCCCTTTCAATGTATTTCCCTCAGCGGATCACAAGATCTCATAGTTCTTTTTATTTTCTTTTTTTATTTTTATGTTTTTAAAATCCAGTCCAGATTGGCATGTAATTTTGTAGAGAATATGGGAAATAATTATAAACCGTCCGCTAAAATCCATGCTTGAGGAGGATCGATTCCATGGGACCCGGTCATATGGTGTGCGTCAGCGTAATCGTCATCATCGCAGATAAAAAAATTAGGGCATAGTTTCATATTCTTCAAAAATTTAGTGCTCATCACTTTTGTAATCATTGTAAACTCATACCATTTACTCCCTTAGGTCTTATTTGAAGCGTTTTAATTTTAAATTAATTATTTTTAAATAAAGATATTTTTTTAAAAAAATAGTAGTTAAGAAATTATCTTTATTTTATATTCTATAGGTATTAAAATAATTATTTTAAACAAATATAAAAAAATAAATCTAAACAATCTAAATAAGATCTGGATGGTTCAAATCTAATAAGAAGCATCGTGAGTGGTTGCGGATCCATTAGGTTGATAACTAAATCAAATATTCTCCCTCCACTTTTAAAATTTCCAGAAGAAAGGAGAAAAATAAAGAAAAGTACAAAAGAAAGCCTCAGCAAACGCGGTATATACGCTGAAGAATTGAAAATTACGCAGCCTTGCGTACCCGTGTACTGAGCACTCTCAAGACTATCTCTCTCTTTCTTTTCTCAGCCTTCACTATGAAGGAAACAAAAACAATAAGCAAATTCAAGAATTTATGAATATATAATATAATCATTATCTTTTGTTTTCTTAATTATTTTTATATCACCTTTTCATTTATTTAATTTAATAATTTCACATTCCTCCAAACAAATTCTGCATAAGATGCTTTTTTTTTTTAATGAAAAAGGACAACAGGAAGGAACTACAGAAAAGCAACGCAAAAACAAAAACAGCCCCTACAGACTACTCCCCGTCCGTCTCAGATAAGTCGGGAGGGGGCTGATCAAACAGGCAGAAAATTCCATCAATTCTATGGGCGTACTTAGCTAAAGAATCAGCTAGAGGGATCAAATCCCTTCCTACATGACAAAAGACAACACACCAGTCTCTATTAATAGTAAACCTGACATCATCAACTAAATCTTTAAAAGGGTGACTTCCTTCACATCCCCGAGTCGCCAAGTTGATAGCCTCCATGCTGTCTGAATAAATAAGAATCTTTCGATGACCTCTAGTCCAACCTAAATTCAAGCCGTGCAATATCCCCATCAGTTCCGCAATGGTTGGAGGTACATTAGTAATCTTAGCACAAAAACCACATATCCAGTTATCTGAATAGTCTTTGAGTACTCCTCCACAGTCGCTGAGCCCATTCCTGAGAACCGAACCATCCACTTCTAGCTTAACAAAAGAAACATCGGTAGCCTCCATCACTTGCCTCAGAGTAGACTCCACCCTGTAAACTTCACATTTGCTTTCTAAATTGTAATCCAAACAAACTCTAAAGAAGCTGTCATTTGCATCTCTCCTGTTACTGAATTCTCGATCACTAAACATTCTACATATATTCCATATTTGGTATTAGAATAGAACACATCACCTGGAACTGGAAGCCTGTACACCGTTGTATTCCTGCTGTACATATTCCATATTCCCTAGTACTACCTCCGGTCCTAATTATAAGAGCCAGTTGACTGATTTGAGGAGATTAAGGAAGTAAATTGAGTTAGTTATTTGTTCTAAATAGGTGTTGTTTTTCCTAAAATATCCTTACTGATCAAATGTATTGAGTATAATTCTTATTATTAGAAGGGCTACTTTGAAAAAAATGTATAAATATGAGAGACAAAGTGGACTGGAGTCTTATATTTATGACTAAAATAAAAATCAAACGGGATCTTATATTAAGGACCGAAGGTAGTAGTTCACATCGTCTTTTCCTACCTTCCCTACGCTTTCACATTGCCCTCCTACAACACAAACACCAGACCAAGAGAAAAGAAGAAAAGGCGCACTCTCATGTCATTCTCAGACCAAAAACCCTAAAAACCAAACACTCTAGAGATGTGATTCACTGATCATCTAACTAGTCAGATCAGTTCAACTGTATGCAGTTAACAAATTCATTATATAATTGGTCAAACTGGTATAAAGGTTAATTCATCCAATTTCTTTATACAACCGGGAAAAATAATAAATAGATGGATCCGACCATTCGTATCATGATTTGTTTTTTTTTTTTTGTCTTTTGGTCTGACTTTTAAAACGTAGGTTAGTTATGATCTTTAAAATGAATATCGGTCATTTCATTGGTCTTCCATTAGCCCAAGAGCTATGAAGAGGTAATTATCCCAAACACACACACACACACACACAAATCACAAAAATTTACAATGTGCTGTCTTCTTGAGTGTTTGGATGGAAACCAAACCGTAGTTTCAGAAGTGCTTTTACAGTTTACGAAGTAAATATGTGGAGGAGTTTACCTCGTTTTGCAGAAAAGTGCTTTTCAAAAGCACTTTTAGGGGTTGCCAAACACCCCCTAAGCAGTCCTAATTCCGAGCCTGGTTCAATAACTATGCGCTCCACAACCTTCACTCTTTCTCTCCGCAGGACTCCTGGACATACCAAGAACTCTAGTTATCAGAGTGGAGAGTGAACATGTGGCAATATTTTCTGTGGAGTTATCAGAGATGTAAAGGAACAAATCCTAACAAATGCAAACTTCAAGTTATTTATGATTTCATTACACCCGGTTAGGTTGCTCAGCATTTATTGGGAGGTGTCATTGCCTTGTGTGGAAGTGGAAGGGTCCGGGAAATATCTTCTCTTAGAGGTTCTGATTGAGAAGATCGGTCATTTGAAAGCAACAATGCATGTTGAAAGGAGTCCAAAGCAAACAGGCTTTAGACGTTTCTTGGGTGGAATTGAATGCAAATTAGTATTCGAAAATTAGTTATCTAACTCAGGAGATAGTATGCATTAACCAATACGATTAAGAATATTAGGGATTTGATCATACAAAGTGACTCCATTGCTCTCGTCTCTATATTTAGAGAAACTAACAATTAAACGAATTTGATTCTTCGTTAAGCTCGCTATATAATGATTTTGATTCCACGGTCACGAACATTTCACCTCTCGAGCATAGCGAGATTTATGTAATAAGCATCATATTCCTATTTAATTTCTTATACATGGATTAATTTTATAACATTTGTGTTAATAAGAGTACAGGGATAACTAAAATGTAAAATAAGAAGTATTGTTATATATTTATACAATACTCGATATTTCTGAAGTAAGATTAATTGTTTGGATCTCATAAATTTTGTAGGAAAAAAAATCATGCTAAGGAAGCAGGTCCCTATTTGAATAATGTAATACAGGATTAAAGTGCACTCAGCACTCCGAAATATTTTTTTCAGGTGTATTCAGGACTCTAAAATATTTTATGGTGCAACCAGTGTCCTAAAATATTTTTTTAAATGTGTCTAGCATCTTGAAATATAATTTGGTGCATTCAGCACTCTAAAATATTTATTTTGATGCACCTAGCACCCAAAAAAGTTTTTTTTTTGGTGCGTTCAGCACCAAGACATAAAAAATAATTTAAAATGCTAAATACACCTAAAAAATATTTCAGAATACTATATGCACCACAAAATATTTTAAAGTACTAGATACACCTTAACTCTACAATATAGCCGGGGAAACATCAAAATTATTAGACGATATAGGATAAACGTTGGTGGGAACTTTTTTTTTTTGGGTTGCAAAAAAGTGAGTTGGGTATGCATCTAAACTCAAAGGGCGCTTGCAGATTGCCCTCTAAAAGGTCTCACATTGGCCATGCTGGTGGCAACTGGGAAGAGGCGGTGTCTGTCAATATATCCTGGGCTTGGCTTTTAAGAATGGACACGTATATGGGCTCAAAGCCATCAGTGCGTGGCCCCCCCCTCCCCCCCCCCCCTCCCCTTCCTTTCTTGTAACTGCTTTTTGTTGTGCTTTCATTTTTTTAAGATTAAAACATGGAGAAAACAACTTGTGAGATGCTTCTAGCAAGTAAT